TCAAGTCCATATCCTTTATTCGCAAATCCTTAATTTGACCTAACACCAACCAGTCAAACCAGTCGTCATTTTTTCATTGGCTGATGAGTCAACTAATACAAAGATTTCACCTTTAAAGTTTTGTGGGTATACCACAGACTCAAACTGTACTTTTTTTCGGTATTCGAACTAGCTGTATCTAAGGCACCTGACTTTGCAGTACAGTTACTGTCCCCTGCTTCGGCTTCTACCACCATACGATCAGTGTCTTGGAGTTCTGTTATCTTTTCGACAAGCACATTTTCATTTTTTTCCTGTAATGTAACAAGCCCACCACCGCGAGTAAGCTCATAAAATTCAGAAACACTTTCGTTGCTAATAATTTTAGGTTTTTTTAAGTCAATTTCGTCACTTTCACAATCATTTTGGTCATCCCTAGATGCCATCGACCATTTAGTCGGCGACGCCATCCTGCCCTTAGCTTTTTTAAGTGCCTTTAGCGGCACTTTTTTCTTTTTTTTTAAAAGGCAACTTGAATAATTGCCCTAAATTTTACCACAAAACTTTTTTAAAAAACACAGAGAAAAAGTACACAAAATGCCAAGGCTACTCACCAATCCAAAGAATGCTTCCCCAGATTAAATTAGTTTATACAAAAAATCACTCGAATTAAAGGTTTGATACACGGTTTTATATACAACAAATATCCACTTTATAATAATAATAAAAAAATGTTTTTTACTATTCTAATATTTAATACTAATACTTTTTCCCAAAATAGCGTATTGCCACCCTGAAAAATGGGCGTGCTGGCTGTTCGGTTCACCCAGCAAATCGTTCCACTCAGAGGCCACAAATACCCATTGCTATGCCCAGGGGGGTTTCCTCATGCCTATCCCTACATGTCTTTGAACCATTTCGATTCTCTGGCGAATCCAAGCAGTCCTTCCAGTGGAGCTTTCCCTAAGGTATGCAGGCTCTCGAAGAAATGGCCCCCAAGAAACGTGAGCCGTTTTCTTCGGAATGCTGGACGTTCACAACTGAAATGTTGGACGGCTTCTACAGAAATCGTTATGCGGAGCTCCGAACTTGGCGGGCATGTGGCCAATGGTCCAGTGTCCCGTTAGAATTCCTGTGAGAAGCTTAACGTTTGGCTTTGACAGCCTCAATAAACTCAATGTTCTTCGTTCGTCGAGCCGTGGCCAGAGCGATCGCGATACCATGCGAGTGTGCAGAGTGTGCAGAGTGTGCACCTGCTGTTGGTGGCTGCCTTGGTCACTCTCTCGACCTCCGAAAACAGAAATCGCAGGGGAGGTTTCACGATCTTGATCGCTCCCCAAGCCCCATTTCAGATCCCTTTCTAGCACATTCGTCCGCTTCCTCATTTACTGGGACACCGTTGTGTCCCGGGACCCAGTAAAGGTTGATTATGTGTTATGTTTCTTAACGCATATCGAGTTGGTTGTTTCCGACCCTAAGGCTTTGATAGCTGCTTGACTGCCCACGACAAAGGCAAGTTTAGATGAAGCTAGGCCGATCATGCTCACCAGCCTTGCCGCCAATTCGATTGCATGTATCTCAGCCTGAAAAACACTGCAGTGATCCGGGAGTCTGTAAGACTCTCTCAGAGATAACTCCTGAGAGAAGACTCCAGATCCTGTTCCGACGTCCATTTTGGAGCCGTCCGTGAAAATAGGTATTTCGTCATCGCTAAGAGCAATACTAAGTTCCTAGTCACTTCTGTATGGAAAATAGACATCAAAATTCCGATTGAAATCAGTTTCCGAGATAGTCACAGCTAATTTACTCCACCCCCACTCTCTCGAGGATTGTGGCGTGGCACGTGCAAGTTGTTCGCAGCCTGTTAGACGCCCTGAGTCGTAGAGCACTTTTAGCTGCGGTACTTTTAACGTATAGGTCTATGGGTGGAATGTCCAGGAGTGTCTCTAGCGTCTCTAGGGGCGTTGAGTAAGTCGCCCCTGTTATGCATAAGCATGCCTGTCGTTGCACCTTTTGCAGATTAAGTACATGGGTTTTGGAGTCCACCGCCTGCCACCATACCAGCGCACCATAGGTGAGAATGGGTCTAACCACCGCCGTATAAATCCAGTGTATTATCTGCGGTCGCAGCCCCCAGTCTTTCCCGATCGTAGCCTTACAGGAGTAGAGCGTAATGAGCGATTTTTTCTCCGCTCTTCGGTATTCCTTTTCCAGGAAAGCTTAGAGTCGAGAATAACCCTCAAAAACTTCGCTTCTTTTGACAGTTCAAGGCTTGCTCCATTGAGGGACGGAGTTTGAAATTTGTCTACTTTATAACGCTTGGTGAACAGAATAAATTCGGCTTTGGAGGGGTTAACCCCTAGACCGTTTCCTCCTGCCCACCTCGCAAGATCGTTAATTGCAGATTGTAGAATCTCTCTGACCGTGGAGAGGAATTTCCCCACGACCAAAATGACAAAGTCAACGACTAGACAATGACCTTGACGGCATTAGATGTGCGGAGCAGGAATTCGTTAAGCACGAGGCTCCACAGTAGGGGAGATAACACCCCCCACTCTTACCTCCCTCCATGGCTTTGGAATATAGCTAAGGCGGAAACTTGCCCTAAAAATGGTCCTTAGCCACGAAGTTACCGTGGCATTTGTTCGTTGTAGCATGGCTCGAAAGATTCCATCCGGACCCGGAAATTTGAAGGCTTGGAAGGATCTGATAGCCCAAGCTACTTTCGATTCAGTGAAGATTTTATCAACTGGACTGACCTGCCTACGGGTACTAGGGTGTTCTGTTACAGGAGTGACTGTGTCCCCTGCGCTGCCGCACCCAGGGAAGTGGAAATCCAGCAGATGTTCCAGTGTTTCAAAGCTGTTTTCGGTATGCCCTCCTCCTGGCTTCTCCAGGAAACCGGGAGGAGCAGGATTTTCTGAAAGGCACCTTCTTAGTCGCGCGGCTTCAGTAGTCGTTTCGAGGTCTTCACAGAATTTGGACCACGATACTTTCTTTGTCTTTTTTATCTCTTTCTTGAAAGCGTTGAAGTTGCGACGATATTCGTCCCAAACCTCCGTGTCCTTGGTGAACTTCGCTCTATTAAAGGCCTTCCTTGCTGCTGTCCTGAGTTGCCTTAGTTCCGCCGTCCACCACTTTGCGTGTCGCCTGTGAGGTGTGCTCTCTGGACAGGTTGCTACGTTACATTCGGTAAGAGTGTTCGCTAGACAGAGGACCGCTCCCTCCAGTTGGCCCGCTGAGATTGGCTCCACCGTATACGGGGGGCACGTTTCAGACACCAGCTGGCTGAAGTCTTTCCAATTTGTCCTACGAGGATTTCGATAAGGTTTTTGTGTCAGTTTGCTTAGGTTAGTGGAGATAACGATGCGACAGTGATCAGAAAAAGAAAATTTTGTCGAGATGTGACAGCCCTCAACCCTAACATTGTTCGAGTTAGTTACGAGAGTTATATCTATAACCTCCTCCCTTATTCTATTGTAGAAGGTGGGGTGGTCACCCTTATTACAAATGGTCACTCGCACTGTCGTACGGGATGGTACCTCTGAGAGTGGAACAACTTCTAGTTTTGCGTTGGCCCAAAGTTCATCTTGGTTGCGGACGTAAGGAAGTCTAGCGACTCCTTGTTGCCGCATCCAACAACTTCGACTCCCTTCTGTCACTTGGCTCCATCAAACATACGAATGTTATTGTTTTTGGTACGCTGGATTTCGCCAAGTAGTGCCCTCATGATCCTTCCTTCCAGGAGCAAAAATTTGTCCGTTGGAATCTTTCCTTCCGGGCGACTCCGGTCTATGATTGCTACCTGGAGCTCTGGTGCTGAGCATAAATAAGGTTGTAAAGTTTTCACCCGCTTCTGCTCAGGCTGTGTCTTCTTGTCGCCAAACAGTTGTCTCTTCGGAGTGCGTGCAACCGGTCCCTTACCACCGATGCTGCCGATGGCGAGGCCTTCTCCCCGTCCAGCCATGGGAACACTGGCCTCGCGGTCTTCGGCACCTTGGGCGTCAGTAACACCGACGGCTTGTTATTTCCAACAGCGACAGGGGAGCAGCTTTTCTCGTCGGCAGACTGCTACCGCCCTCAGAGGGGGGTTTGGTTGCAGCGTCTATATTTTCGGAGTTGGTGGCTTTTCCAGAGACAGCGGCCTAACTTCCGAAAGCATTCGAGACTTTCTCCTGGCGGAGTCGCTCATACTTCAGGACAATGTAGGCATGCTTCTTTTGAAGAGCCTTGTCCCTTGGCGGGGCAGACACCTGGATAATAGGCTCAACAGTAGAATTTCGATCGCTGGGCTTGTTGTCACCACTCCAACGATAGGGTCTCCGGGGATTTTAGAACCCTCTTTTACCGGATACTGAGGGTCGGGTGTTGCATTTTATACCTACTGCCAGGTGAAGGTTGTCCTGCCGCCCAATATGGGTCAGACGCAGACCAAGGAGCCACCCCACTGGGGAACCGACGCTTCTGGATTTGTCGGTGTGTTTTCAAATGCGAAAATTGGGGTCCCGTACGCAGTGGTCCCGTCATCAAGTTCTGGTCGTCCTGGGCGTTCGCCGATGCACATCACGTACAGTCCGGGTCCAGTCCACAGCCTTGAGCGAGAATATACCGCCTCGCACCGGTCGACAGAGTCTCGTTAGCGATAACAGGGACCACCAAGCCTTGACGGGCAGTGGGTGAGGTAGTCGTTTGGAGGGGATAGGTTATAGATTCACTTCACTCCCCCATTAGATCCCCTTTTTACTCTTACTGAATAATGTATGTATGAGTGGAAACTATCGATAGTGCTTACAAAACCATCGATTTTTTTGATAGTCAAAAACCAACGATACTATCGACAGTGCCATCGATAGTTTTACAGCTCTAATGCGTCTGTGCTTAGGTTGTGGGCCAGTTCCAAGTGTATTGCCCTAATAGTGAGGCACGTTAGACAGTGCCACCCAGCACTTCTCTTGTCTATGACCGATTGTCATGTTTGTTGGACCGAAATAATCGAGACCGGTGTATGTGAACGGTCTTACCTAAGGCGTTAAACGGTCGGCTGGCAGTGGTCCCATAATAGGTGCTACTGGCGTTGCTTTGGACACTCGACAGACCTGACAATTACTTATTGCAGAACGCAGAAGCTTACGCAAGCAGGGTATCCAGTAGTGACGATGGATTTCGCAGATTGTGGCTTCCGTATTTTGATGTTTCGTGGCGGCGTGATGATGACTCACAATAAGTTTTGTTAAGGGGTGGTTTGGTGGTAGTATGACCGGCTGTCTGGTAAATATGGGCAGCCATTCAGCTGCATCGATGCGTTCCTTTACGCGCAAAATACAGTGATCATCTATGCAGGGCGAGAGCTGGTAGATTGCGCTGGATCGAGGAATTGTGTAACCTTTTTCGAGCAGGCGGAGCTGGGCAATGAATGCTTCTGTTTGCACTTGACGATACAAGGCATGCTTGGCTGTTTCCAACGCCCATGCTGTTAGGCCATGCGTTTCATCGGACTGCTTGCCATTGCGGCATGGACTCACGAAACGAATCACCCATGCCAGAGTTTGTACTATTCTGCTAAGAGATGAAAAACGATTATAATTCATAAATTTATAGCTTACAACTGCCAAAGCGTATCTCAGCTGGAGCTCTTCGTCGTCAGCAGCATCGCGTTCTTGGACTTCAAGCTCCTGTGGCCAATGCTCTATATCCATCTGTAAGAACTGTGAGCCACTCAACCAATAGGACTCGAACTCAGTGTTGACACGTCTCGCTCGAGTAGCTTCGTCGGCAACGTTATGAGCCGTTGGTATCATCTCCAATTGGATAGCGTTGTGGTGGCTAGTATTTCCGCCACTCTATGGGCGAAAAATGGCTTGTACCACCTGTGCTCGCTGCCTATCCATTTAAGGACAGTTCTTGAATCCGACCAGAGGACACAATCGGATATGGTACTGCGTGCTGATCACGAACTGTCTGCATCAACCTCTTACCTAGGACTGCGGCCTATAGCTCGAGGCGCGGAATAGTGAGCGGCTTCATTGTAGCACTTTTGTAATTCCACAGTGGTTCGAGTAAAACACAGCAAGATATTACACGCTCAGAACAAAAACGGCGAATATTATAAGTCAGAGCAAAAATGAACTATATTTTTTCCTAGACCAAAAACGAAACAAATCGACAGCTTACGTGTGAACTTTGTGTGTAAGCGGTATTTCGTGCGCGCTCGGTTGTTTCTGCTTTTGCTTTTGCGTTTGCGGTGATCGGCAAAATGTAGGAGCGAAAACATTTATTTGTAAATTGCAATGCTGTAATCGGTTGTGTAGTCTCATGTCCATAAATTGCGTAATGGAAGATGAAAGTGATGGTAAATATTTATATTTATTTGCTAGGTAAGAGCAATTATAGTATGTATTATATCTTATTTGCAGTAACGTTTACTCCCAGAAAACGACAAAAACGATTAGAACATCGCAAACAAAATATTGAAAAGAAAAGTGTTGAACGCGGCAAAGAGCATGAAACTGTTAGCGGCCGTATAGTTGCGGAAAAAATGTATAGCCCAAGTAATCTGCAAATGTGGAAAAAGTTGCTGCCACAAGATTGACATTGTCCGCCAGAAGAAAATCTTTGAAAACTATTATCATGCTTTAAATTTTACCCAAAAAGCCTTATATATTTTTTTTGGTTATTTATATTTCGCTTTTTTAATGTTTATTATTTTTTTTATAAAAATGCAGTTCATTATTTAACAAAAACCATATAAGTCAAAATTTCAAACTTTATAGAAAAATTTAAAAAAGTTTTACAACAATTAGGTTAGGTTAGGTTAGGTTGAAGTGGCAGCCCCGCGCAGAGCGCGGAGCACACGGGGCTGGAAAAGCCCGTTGTGATACCATTGGCCGAAGCCATTTGTTTCTTTCCCTTCCTTAGTAATTGAACCACGGAGTGCGTTTTATATAGCACAAAAAGTCGAGAACGTTCGCCGAGCTCAAATCGGCTAAACAATCTAGAAAGTACTTCTTGAAGAATCAGTTGCGCGTGTTGGCCAAGGTGGGACAATGGAAAAGATAGTGTTCAACGGTCTCCACCTCTTCCTCGCCTCTGCAACTTCGACAAAAATCGTTGGTGGGGTATCCTAGTCTGTTTCCGTGTGTGCCCATCAGGCAGTGTCCGGTGATTACCCCGACTACTAATCTGAGAAAGGAGCGGTCCAGCCGGGTAAGAGCTATGGATCGCTTTACATCAATCTTTGGCCAAATTTGACTTGTAGTATGGCAGGTGGTTTCCAAAGCCCACCTGACATTTACCTCCTCGACGAGTTCCGCCTGTGTCTCTGTTTGCAGGAGGTTAGAGATATGCCCGCATTCTGAGCAGAATTGACTTCAGATATTTCCGTCCCTCTCCTTGCCAGCTCGTCGGTTAGGCAGTTGCGAAAACTGAGGTTTAGCGCGAGTTCGTCAGAGTAGATCCCGCTACCCACTCTTTTGTTAAGCTTGGAACCATCTGTATATATGGCCGTAGACCCTGGGTTCAGGTATGTGGCCCCTTACCATTCGTTCCTCTCTGGGATCCTTGTGGAGAATTTGTTGTCAAAGCAGAGTAAAGAAGTGGTATAATCAATCTGCCGTAGATTATCCGGTAGAGTTTTAAGTACTTTTGCGTGTCCGAATCTAAGGTCCCTCCACGGCTGTATTGTATTTAACCTGGCCTCACTGCAGCCGGCCCGAAATTTTCCGTGAAGATCCACAGGTGGAAGATTTAACATTATTTCCAGAGATTTGATAGGTGTAGTGGGCAGCGCTCCCGTGACTAACATGGCAGCCGTCCTCTGCACCCGTTCCACCTTGGCTCTGGACAAAGTGTTGTTTAGCGCAGGCTACTAAACGGTGACCCCGTAGAAAAGGATGGGTCTTATCACAGCTGCGTACATCGAGTGTACTAAGTGTGGTTTTATTCCCCATTTTTTGCCTATAGCCGTCTTACTGGCATAAAGGGCGGTATTGTCTATTCTGGAGCGGTCTTCAATGTTTCGCTTCCAGTCAGGTATCTTGTCTAGAATAATTCCAAGGTATTTGACCTCGGTTGAGAGAGTAAGTGCCATTAAATTTAGGGTGGGAGGTTCAAATAAGGGAGTTTTATACTTCCTTGTGAAAAGTACCATTTCTGGTAGGATTGACGGTAAGTCCACATTCCTTGGACCAGCTGTTTACCAGACCGAGTGCATTTTGCAATAACTCACTCAGGACCTGAAGATGTTTGCCCGTTGCCAAAATTTCTATGTCATCAGCGTACGCTATGACTTGACAACCGGTGCCCTTTAGGCTTAGAAGTAGGGTGTTCACTGTTAGATTCCAAAGCAGAGGGAAGAGAACGCCCCCTTGGGGGTGCCTCTGGTCACATATTTTGTGATGGAACCATCCCCCAGTTGTGATAGAATAGTTCTCTTTTCAAGAAGGAGTCCAACAAAATCTACCAGACCCCGCTGCACCCCCGCCATGAGAAGGGAGTTAACAACAGACTTCGGATAGACATTGTTGAAAGCACCCTCGATATCGAGAAAAAAACCGAGCGTGTATTCCTTTAAGGCCAATCCTTTTTCAATCGTCGATACGATTTCATGGAGTGTGGTGTCCACGGATTTTCCTTTGGTATACGCATGCTGGTTTGGGGAGAGGTTTTTTATATTCCGTCGAATATATTCATCGATGAGCCTCTCTAGAGTTTTAAGGAAGGATAAAGTGAGGCTTATAGGCCTGAAATCCTTCGGTTTCACATGAGCGGACTTGCCTCCTTTGGTAAGAATACAGCTTTTGCTTTTGTTCACTCATGTGGTATGTGAATCAGGGTTAGCCAGATGTAAAAAACTGAGAAAGCAGGGGGCACAGTATGTCCTTAGCTTCCTGTAGTTGAGCGGGAAAAATTCCGTCAAGGCCCGGAGATTTGTAGGGATGGAAGGACATTAAAGCCCATTCCACCCTCTCCTCACTTACGACGTCCCTAACGGACCTGTTTGCTTAGCATGATTGAAGAGCCTCCAGCTGTTCTTCTTCAGTGCTGAAATCTCAGGATTCCACCACTAGGGTTTCTTTTTGTCCTTCGGCAGGGTGCTTGGGCGGGAGGCTTTAAAAGCAGCATTACAGGCATTTGTCACAAAGTTCACTCCTTCATAACTTTTCGACGATGAGTCCAGCTCACCGAGAGAAACACCCTTTGTATTCGAGAGACTCGCTTCATCAGGTCTTAATGATAAGCAGGACTTATCGTGGGAAGCGTATCTGCGTAGAGAGGCCGACAGCGTATTCCTATACTTTGCCCAGTCGGTTCGCTTTCTGTTCCTATATGCTGTTAAAGGAGCAGGATCAAAATTGAGATTGAAACTAATGTAGAGGTGGTCAGAAAAAGGGTGTTCCTTGGACACCTGCCAGTCTCTTATCCGATCGGACAAACCGCTCGACACAAGGGTGATGTCCAGCACTTCTCTTCTAACAGAGGTCATAAACGTGGGATCGTTCCCACGGTTACATACAGTAAGATTATATAAAAGAATAAAGTCAAGTAAACCTCACCTCGGAAGTTGGTGTCGTTTGAGCCCCAGATCGTGTTATGTAAATTAGAGTCGGCCCCTATTATGACCGGGAGCTTTCCGCGATTTGCTTTCTTCACCGCTTCCTCCAGTCTATAGGGAGGAAAAGCATAGCTGTCGTGAGCCATGTAGGTTGTTGCCAGCCAGATAACGCTCTCCTTCAGCCGTACACTGATGCAGATAGTGTCCTCGTCGCTGTATTGGGTGAGTAAAAAATGAGAATATACTTTTTTAAATTAGAATGCAAGCTCTGATCCTACCTATTACTGGAGCTGTTACCATCTGGTAGGCATCAGAGTTCAGTCCGCAAACCTTGTTTCTGACGATCCAAGGTTCTTGGACTAAAATCAAGTCCTAAGCTTTATCGCTGAGGCGAAGAAGGAGAGCATCCGAGACTGCCTTGGAGTGGTGCAGATTAATTTGTAGGATCTGCACCATCCTCAGAATCGGTTATTTTCATTGCTTCTAGCTCCCTCCGCTCGGCGGCGGCAATGACTGTGATGTCATTGTCCTCCTCCTCCGGTTCGGATACCAGAAGCTGGTCCTCGTCCAGCGTAGATTGACCCTACGTAGGCAGATACTGAACCCGATTCGCTCTCAGTATCTGTCGCGGTATCGGATACACTCGTTGGTGGGTCCACAGGTTCACTCGCGGTGTTTCCTGTGTACCCCGTTCGGCCGGCCACCGATGCCGACACAGGGGCCGCAGGTCCGCCTGAGGCGTTGCCTATTTTGTTGGCCCCTTCGTCGGGAAGAATATCTGAGGGAGCGGGTCCGCTCGAGGCATTGCCCGTTTCCTCCTCTTGCTGATCCGTTCTCTGGTGGATTTTTACTGTGATTGAGTAAAAGCCGTAGCTTATTACCCCAGCACAATCCTCGAGAGCTGGGACAGAAGCCTCGTTCACGACAAAGCCAACAAAACGCTGCTTCCCCTTGGTCTCGCCAACTCGGACTATCCTCCAATCGCTGGTGGGCAGTCCTTCGTTGCCCAGTCGGATGAACTCGAGTATCTCCTCCGGTTTTGCCGGCTCAGCTGGTACCCGGGCCCAGGCTCGCGGCCTGGTAGGGATTTCATCTCTATGGACGGCAACTAAGTCTGCCCCGGGCCACAGCTGTCCAACCGTGGAGATAGCTTCCTTATAGAGCCGGTGCGGGCGCTCATCGGCGCACGCTACCAGCTTAACTCGCCCTTGATGCCATCCGCCATCACGGACGACTGGTGCTGGGCCG